CTTATTTTTGGAGAAACACAGTATGCTTTGTGGTTTATACTCTTGGGTGTGCACACAATGGTCATACATTAGCAATTACTACAGAAATATGATTGATAAAAATTCCATATTATCAGTTTTAGGAAATATTTATCTATTCAAAACATATACAAAGCTTAAATCTGGGCAGCTCCCACTCAGAAATATGTAATCCTTAATTCATTACGTTAATGCATTAAGTTGGAAGCGGTCATTTAAACCAGTGTTTTTCAACCACTGTGCCGCGGCACACTAGTGTGCCGTGACATAGTGTAAGATGTGCCGTGGGAAAATTACTTTATATATAGTCAATATAGGCACAGAGTTAAATTTTTTTAACATTTTCTAATGGTGGTGTGCCTTGTGATTTTTTTCATGAAAAAAGTGTGCCTTTGCACAAAAAAGGTTGAAAAACACTGTTCTAGTCTAACCCCCTGCTCAGGAAGGAGGAAACTATATAATTTCAGACAGTGTCACTCAATCTCTTCTTTAAAAGCCTCCAGTTTTGTGCAAAAGAGAGCTCATAACAAACACATACCGTATATAAATGAGAGGATTGAGCACCAAATGCTGAGAATATCTTTTAATTCAGCAGTTAAATACACGTATTATATCTAGGTTTACAAATCAACAGCAGGCAGGCAAATTCTTCATTGCCACAGAGTCAGAAAATGAAAAGAATTGATTCTGCCTTAGTCATGATGTAAAGTATTCACAATATAATTTGAAATTTTGGAAAGCTGGAGAGAAGAAGAATGGTTTACAAAATAAGGGATTTTACTAGTTTTAGGAAGCCCTAAGTCCTTCAGGAGATGAATGCCTTGCATTTTATTCTTTTAATGAAACAAGGGAAAGAATTAAAACCAAAGGGAGCACTTTGACTAATTAAGTGAGTGCACAATAGTTGTGCAGTGAATGTTTGGTGGGGTCTCATAAGGTTAATTTACAGTAGATGGTTGTGGGAATGAAATAGACTATTACTGGTCCTCTTCATCTTAACTGAAATGAAATGTTTTTTTAGATTTGAGTCCAATGCAATAAAGTGTTGTAAATATCCAATCTTTCAAACTGTTGTCAAACTGGCAGCCTGTGAGCCAGATACGTCATGCGCAGGCCTCGCCCAGCCCAGCTCCGCGAAGAGGAAAAACATCATCATACATCATATGACGGCAACGTGAGGCGGTGAATTTGACACCTGTGCTAGCACATATCCTTCACACAACTCATTCTTGAACACACTTCTTGAACAGACTTCCCTAGATACTGAGAGAAAATATGGTAGCTGCAGAAGAATTTAACTGCTATCCTCATATTTGAACATGCTCATTTCATTGAAAGAGGTAATTACTACGGGAAGTAAACATCAATATTCAAAAAAAATCAGGAGAAAAACTGCCCTGCTGGTTCTGATGAGTTTATCGCAAACCTTCAATGGCAAAATTAAAATATTACAACTGTTTTAGAAACATGTTTTGAAATGTGATTTTAATTTCTCACTGGTCCAAATTAAGCTAATGATAATAATCCCTCCTCTTAGGTAACATTTTTACTACTGGTATTTATTATGATAAAAAGATACCTATCTTCACTATTCTGTATTAGAATAAGTGTATGTTCTGGAGTCATGTGATCACCTTTTGTGACCTCCTAACAAGCAAAATCAACAGGAAAGCCAGCTTCACTTAACAAAGGTATTATTGATTTAACAATTGCAGCAATTCACTTAGCAAATGTGGCAAAAAAAGTTATAAGAATGGAGCAAAACTCAACAAAGTTCTCACTTAGCAACATAGATTTTGGGCTCAATTATGGCCGTAAGTTGAGGACTCCCTCTACTCCTTCCTCCTGCTATTTTTCCCACAACAGCAACTTACTGCATAACTCAAGAAGAACCTTTCTTTATATCTGAATAATTTATAGTGGGCACGCCTACACAATACTATAATGTGGAATTACATAACCGGAGCCCCCTTTTCAGATGATGTTTTCTCTGTATGCCAATCATGTAGTCATAATTTTTTGAGACTTCCCCAAAGATTAATTTGGATCATGCAAAGTGCAGTGATAAATGAATGCTACCCTCTTGTCTTATCTTGCACATATTGGTTGGTAAGTACATTATCTAATGGAAATTATCTGTGAATGCTTACAAATGTACCTAGATGCTTCTCAACCCCATTAAGATGAAAATAAAGTTGACAACTTTTCAGTCAGCCTTTATTAACAATGCAGTTGGGTTTCTCCGTATTTTCATCTGTTGAATGCCTGCAAGGATTTTCATCCAAGTCAAATTTGTTGAAAAG